TTGCCTCCGCCAGTCGAAACCAAACTAAAATTTTAATTAAAAATTACTCATATGCTAAAACCGAAAGGAACAAAAAAAATATTCTCCGGTAGGTCTTCAACCCATTTCCCTCCACAAAAGCGCGGCGAGGCGTAAGATAAATTTTCTGGCAGTAGCCTCGTTTTCTTGGCTGCTGCCTCCTGACTTCCTGCCTGCCTTGACGAAATATTTCGTGTGGTTCCCTCTTTTTGCCTGTGGAAAACTGCGCGCCGGTGGTGGTGGCTACGGAATAGTATGCAGCAAGTTTATGAAAATTCTTTGTTTATGCCAAGGTGTATATGTATGTGCGCCAGTTCTGAGGCTTTTTCTCCATCCATGTCCATGTCCATGTGTGTGCGTGTGTGTGCTTGGGAAAATTGCGTTTGGTTTGTTAATTTTGCGTTGCTTTTCCCCGTTTCTGTCAAATTTATATGCTGGTTAGCTCTCCAGCAAGCAAAAGTTTTCGGTTTTTGGGCTGATGAACATATACGAAATTCTACGAGTATGAATACGCTGGTATGAGTACGAGTACGAGTACGTGTCTGTGTTTTGTGTCTAATTTATGAGACCAGTTAAATGTGGGACAAATTTTCGGCAAACAACAAAGTTCAGAGTGCAGTCGTTTTGGTATTGAAGAGAAATTTTTGGTTGAGACACCAAAACTAATGAGAAAATTGTTGGGTTTTCAGGAAGCATAGAAATAGTACAACTTTAGTTATTATTAAGCCTTATAGATTAATTCTAGAGCCGCCGAGATCTTAATGATTTTCACGAATTAAATATTTCGTGTTGCATCAATTCCCGACGGCATTTTGTGTTCCACGGTTACCTTCGGACAATCGTAGGGGCCACCCAAATCCTACCTGTATTAAAGACCGAAAGAGAATGATGTCATGACCAGAGTAGAAGTGTCAGCCCAAGGACAAATTTATGATGCTGAAGCGCTGACTGACGCTCAAATTAAGTTTCCGCCTAGAGTAGCGGAAAATACCCTACGCTTTTATACCGCGAGTATCGGTAAAGTATAGGTTATGTTACTTCATTGAAGAGAAATGTCACTCTCTTGTGCTCTCTTAGAAACATAAGATGTTGATGGGAAAGCAACTGCCAAAAGCAAGATGTATTTGGATAAGGTGAGGCACTGCGAATAATCGCTCTTCATATAACTGCGTTTTATTTTAGTTGCGTGGGGAAATGAGATCAAAAAAGATAGAGAGAGAGCGTAATGTAATGAACGTATGCCTCACCTTTAATAAACACACCATGCGCATAAGCCCTTGCACAGCTTCACACACACCCACATATATTCCCGTTTTGCACGCCCAAATATTTCATACACTAATATCAATTCAATTTGTATGCATTGGACATGAATGCATGAGTGCATGTAAGAACGAGAGATGGCGAGTGGGAAGCATAGTAGAGAAGAACCCGCAAGTGGTGGCAATGGGAAAGGAGAGCCACTGTGCGTTTGTGTGTGCACGGGGAAACGGAATTTGGACAAACGCAAATATTTTATGAAATCCAAAAACAAAAAAAGCAACAGCTAATAACAGTTAGTAGGAACACTTACCCACGCAAGACATACAACTGAATTCAGAAAAAACAAATTGTTCGATCGCACAAACACACACATGCACGTTCATATGTATGTATGCTTAAGCGATTACGATTCGAATAAGACGAACGACGATTTTTAGGTTACGGACGAAGGAAAGACGCACTCAAAAATTTATTTTTTGCATGCTTTAAAATAAAACATGACCACTTGTTACACTTTTCACACTCATCATTTTTTTTTTTTAACTTTTTCTTTTAAAAAATGAGACATCTCGTGGGACGCTGGACTCGCTGGTTGCTCCACTGATTTTTGCACATACAAAGAATAATTTATGCACATAATATTTTGTGTATAGATGATACATAATAAAAAAAGAAAATAAAAACACTTTTTACATTTCACTTTCACAAATTGCCGCCTTTTTCCATCGCTGATCTGCCGACTTTTGTAAGCCAATTCGCCTGAAATTTTGCCGCCTCTGCCCTGGATTACGCAATTTTGTACACTAAAACACTTTTATTGGTCAATTTTGTATGTTTAATCACAACACCACTTTCACTTCACTACACTTCATTTTCACTTCCCATCGCTGATCTGCCGCTTTTTTCATGCCAATTCGCCTTAAATTTCGCCGCCCTTTCGCCTAGTGTACCGCCTCTGCAGTGGGTACTGCTCCACCTCCGCGCTGGATCACGCATTTTTTATACTTTGCCGATTTTCTCATGCCAATTTGCCTTCAATTTCGCCGCCATTTTACCTCGTGGACTGCCTCTGCAGTGGGTACTGCGACGCCTCCGCAGCTGGATCCCGCATTTTTTTACACTAAAACACTTTTTTTGTCCAGTTTTTTATATTTTATCACTGCACTACACTACACTTCACGTCACTTTCACATATTGCCTCTTTTTTCCATCGCTGATCTGCCGCTTTTTTCATGCCAATTCGCCTTGAATTTCGCCTCCCTTTCGCCTAGTGTACCGCCTCGGCAGTGGGTACTGCGCCACCTCCGCGCTGGATCACGCATTTTTTACACTTTGCCGATTTTCTCATGCCAATTCGCCTTCAATTTCGCCGCCGTTTTACCTCGTGGACTGCCTCTGCAGTGGGTACTGCGCCGCCACCGCAGCTGGATCCCGCATTTTTTTACACTAACACTTTTTTTTGTCCAGTTTTTTATATTTTATCACTGCACTACACTACACTTTCACATATTGCCTCTTTTTTCCATCGCTGATCTGCCGCTTTTTTCATGCCAATTCGCCTTAAATTTCGCCGCCCTTTCGCATAGTGTACCGCCTCTGCAGTGGGTACTGCTCCGCCTCCACGCTGGATCACGCATTTTTTATACTTTGCCGATTTTCTCATGCCAATTTGCCTTCAATTTCGCCGCCATTTTACCTCGTGGACTGCCTCTGCAGTGGGTACTGCGACGCCTCCGCAGCTGGATCCCGCATTTTTTTTTTACACTAAAACACTTTTTTTTGTCCAGTTTTTTATATTTTATCACTGCACTACACTACACTTCACTTCACTATCACATATTGCCTCTTTTTTTAAATCGCCGATCTGCCGCCATTGGTATGCCACTTCGCCTGCCATTTTGCTTGTGGACTGCCGCTGCGCTGGAACATGCACTTTTTTTACACTAAAACACTTTTTTTTTGCCCAATTGCAATGTTTAAACATTGCACCACTACACTACACTTCACTGCGCGACAACTTTTCCGTTTGATTTCCCGAATTTGACCGATTTTTCCCGATTTTTCGCGATTTTCGCGAACCGACACGCGGACTAACCTCCATGGGTCAAGCGGTCAAAAAATTCTGAGCGCGACGCCGATGCGCCGCCGGCTTTACACTCGTTTTTCTTGTTCTTATTGCTCTCTCACACTCGCCCACGACCTGTACTCTTTTTATTCTTCTCATACGAAAAATGGCAGATCAAGAGTGTGGGCACATATACATGAAAGTGTTTTACGGATGACGGTCGGTGAGGGGGGAGCGTGTTAGTGTGGCTCTATTTCGGCTTTGCTCCGCAATTGCAATGGCTCGGGTTCTTATTGCTCTCCTAATGTAAAACCGAAAGTTGCGGTACCTCGCCACCTCTTTGATATGGAACCTCTTTGCTCCTCTTCTGTCGAGAGGGGGTGAAGTGGAATATATTAAGGTAGATGATCTCTTCATGCTTCTTGTACTTGATGCTCTCTTGCACTCGGCAACGCTGTGCTGTTTTCATCTTCCACCACGAAGGCAGATCAAAAGTGTGTAGATCTGTTTTTTTTTTTTTTGGTGGGGGTGGGTTGGAGAGGGGAAGGTGTTAAAGCAGATGCATAGCCCCCGTATCGTACTTGTTGTTGGGAGGTGTGTTTAAGTGGCTCTCTTTGGCCTACGCTCTGCCATTTCAACGGCTCTTGTTTTTATTGCTCTTCTACTGCAAAGTGAAAACGAAAGTTGCGGTACCTCGACACCTCTCTCTTTCCTACTGACAAAGATCGAATCTCTCTACTCCTCTTCCTCTGCCACTTCTACGTTGAATGAAATCCCTAAGCAAACAACTCGTTTGCAAACTTGTTTACTTAGTGATGAAATCTAATTGCGAAAGTGTGTTTAAATGATTTAATAAGTCCATATATAATGCATATTAGATAAAACATAATTTTTGAAAAAGATGAAATTTGTAAAATGTTTTTGGTTGCCAACTTTGCTGCTTTGCACATGTACACGCATACTTTTGCACTTCCCCGTTGTGTGCGCACTCTCCCACATGCAAGCACAGTTTAAGATTTCAATGCTCTCCACTTTCGGACAGAAAGATGGCGCGGATTTCGCCGCACTTTTTTAAATTTCTATTGCTTGTTATTACTTTTATCTTACTATTCCATTCACACATATACATACATATATAAATATTGCCTTTCCAAAGATCTTGGCATGGTTCAAGTAATATACTTGAAATACATTGTGGAATGGAAATACCTAGAAGGTAAATCGTATATGTTATTAAAAATATTACAAAAGTCATATTTTCAGGGACATAAGCACCCGGCGGTGTTCGTGGAAAGCCATTCCAACGATTTAATGGTTTAAATTATTTAACAGAAAGAGGTCGAAAGAGGAACCACAAACTGGTTCTTTTTATGACAGTATGGCAGCTCTAACTGCTGTTTCTTTTTCCAGCGAGCTGGCAGCGCTATTACATTTTTGTTACATTTGTGTTTCCATTCCCTACATGAAATATAGAATTTCTAGCACAAAAACATCTAAATTAAATGTTTATAGTTTCAGAAAATAAATATCTTAACTTATATCAACACTCGAAATGTTATATGCAAAATAAATGTGTGTGGGTAGCCGCCGAGCTCGTTGCGCTTATCGCACAAAAATATTCATACAAAATAATATCGATATATCGCAACTGCGATATTTCACCATTCCTAGCACATTCTAAAAACGTAAACAACTCCAAGTTTAGTTAATTTTTGAACAAATTAATAGAAATGTCCATGCAAAATGGCAAAATAATCGACCAGAAGGCATACCTCAAGAAGTACCTGTCCGGCGACAAGGAAAAGAAGAAGAAAAAGAAGGACAAAAAGCACAAAAAGTCGGCAAAAGTGAAAATCATCGACGACGATGCCTACGAAGATGTTGGCCTGCAAATGGACGAAGATCTGTTGCTGGGCGGCGAAGATGCACCGCAAATAGTGGGCGAGTACATTGAGGACAATCCGGAGGCTGTGCGCAGCAAGTGGCGCAACATTGCCGTCAAGGATGAGCTCAAAGAGGAGCAGCAGCAGGACGAGGGTGAGGCTGTGGCTGCGGCGGCGGCGTCTGTGTCTGCGGTGCACATCAAACAGGAGCCGGCGGATGAGCAGCCTGAGGAGTCGCTGTGGGGTCGCAAGGCCACCAAGCAGGAACGCTCACCGCTGGCCATTAAAATCAAGCAGGAAAAACGCAGCAGCTCAAGGGATTTGAGTCCAAGGAGAGGCTTGAAGCGGGTTGCAGCTGCGGGGAAGAGTCCGCAGAGGAGGAAACGGGAGCCAGATGAGAGTCCACCCAGGAGAAGGCGCGGCAGTACAGATCAGAGTCCACCACGCAGGAGGCGGCGCAGCCCCGACCAGAGTCCACCCAGACGCAAGCGAGAGGAAGATCAGTCGCCACCGCGAAGGAAGCGCCTCAACTCGGATCAAAGTCCACCTAGGAGACGTCGCGACTCCGATCAGAGTCCGCCCCGACGTCGCAGAAGCCCCAACATCGATCAAAGCCCGCCCAGAAGGAGTCGCCGAAGTCCCAACCCGGACCAGAGTCCGCCCCGCCGCAGAAGAAGAGACGCGGATCAGAGCCCACCACGCAGGCGCCGCAACTCCGATCAGAGTCCACCTAGGAGACGTCGCTCGGGCAGCCTCAAAGTGGAATCCCCGCCCGCGCGACGCAAGAGCCGCTGGGCCAAGGGCACGCCCTCGCCATCGCCACCGCCCACGCACAAGCCGAAGACTTCGTCCAGGACTTTAGATGGCAAGCGTGCGGGTCTGCAGGATGCGCACTCGCTGAAACAGGAGTCGGACGAGCGACGGCGACGAGAGCACAAGTTGTTTGAGCAAATGTCCAGCGAGGTGTCCGGCCGCGATGCGGAAATTCAAATGCGCAGCACGGGCAGACGTGGACGCAGGGCGCGCGAGGCGGCCGAGGAGGATCCTGCGGAGCAGCGGCGCAAGGAGGAGCACGAGAAGAAGAAGAAGGAGCTGTACGATCGCTGGGGCAAGGGCTTGAAGCAAATTGAGGATCTGAAGGTGCGCCACGAGGAAATGGCGCATGAGGCGGCCAAGCCGGTGGCGCGCTATGCCAACGACGAGGATTTGGATCGGCATTTGCGGGAGCAGGAGCACGCGGACGATCCCATGCTGGAGTATATGCGACAGAAGCGCAAGAAGCAGGATAAGCTGGACAACAAGCCCGTGATGCCCAAGTATGAGGGAAGTTTTCCGGAAAATCGCTATGGCATTCGGCCTGGCTATCGCTGGGATGGCGTGGATCGTTCTAATGGCTACGAGCAGCGTTGGTTTGACAAGCAGAACGAGCGCAAGGCGCTGCAGGATGAGGCGTACAAGTACAGCGTGGAGGATATGTAAAAAAAAAGAGAATTTTTGTAATAAAATTTGCAACTTATACCGCCGATAGACGATTGTTTATTTTGAATCCACAGCTGTCTTTGCAGCACTGGCGCGGTACACCTGCAACACTGCTGGCCCATTGCAACCCTGTGTGTAGAATAGCAAAGCAAAAGAAAATAATAAATACATAGTCTTCACCTGCGACCTGCTTTGTACACCGAAAAGTCTTTGATTTGTTTCAAATTTAATTTAATTAATGTGCTGAAAGTGTGCGTTTGCCGCTGGCCATAAAATTGAATAGGGTAAGTTGCGTTGTAAATGAAATTAAAGCAGTTGTATTTGGTGTATGTAAATATTGCTGCTGGCTTTGTTTCTGTTTGTGGCAGCAGCGAACAAAGCGTAACAGAACCAGATGTAAGTGCGTGTGTGTGTGTGTGTGTTGAGTGTCTGCCCCGCCCCCGATAATTAGCATAAAAGGCTCGTAACCACAAAAGTCAGCAGCAAGCAAGCAACAGCACCAACAACAATGCTAGAAACGTGTTGTTGCTTGCATTTTCCAAACGCACACGCGAGGAGGCACCCGTGGCTTCAGCTGCTGCTTCGCCTCGCTGCTGCTCTGCCTGCCTGCCCTTCGCCTTCACCCATTGTCGGTCAGCCGTTGGAAACCTGTTTATTTGCTGCTGCTGCTGCTTGTTGTGATTATGTTGTTTGGGGCAGTCTACAATTTCCATGGCCTGTGCAAAAACCAAAAATTGGCGCGAAAACTTTTCCAGCTGCAGAAAAATGTGTCAGTCAGGCAATCAGCCAGCAGGCGCATGCATTGTCGTTGTCTCAATTTCCATCTCTCTCTTTGTGGGTGTGTGTGTGTGCGAAAGATGCATGCTTTGCATTCAACTGTATATTACCCCCTCCACTTTGCTCTCCTTTGTCAGTCTCTTTTGCTCTCTCTCTCTCTCTGTGCCTTGCTTTTTGGCATACATAAACTTCCGCACATGTCTTCATTCATGGCACTGCTTGCTTACTCCCCCCTACCACGGCTCTCTCTCTTCCTATTCCTATGCTGCTGCTGCTCCGCTTTGTGTTTGTTTGACTTTGCAAAAAAAATAACCATGCTTTTGACGCATGGAATTCAGCGAAAATTGAGGAGCATAATAAGCAGTGGATGGAAGATATGTAGGTTAGGTTGAGGCGGTCGTCGGGTGGAAGATATGTAAATACATAAATCAATTTAGTTCGAATTCAATGGGAAATTATTAGTTTTTGTGGGTCATATTACAGGCACTTTTTAAGTGCATTCTAAACGGTTATTAAGAGAGAGAAACAGAATTTAAAAAATTAGTGTTGGTAGTCGTCTATCTTGTGTTTTTCGCGGTAGAGTTGTGGCAATTTTTGTGCCAAGACGAAGTTAACCCACACCAAGTACAATTCGGCCGCTGCATATATTTCTCTCGCTCACACTGCTTGCTTTTACCATAGAAGCCTTATGGCCTCATGCCAGTTAGTTCCACTCAATTTTACGGTTATTATTTGGTGTCATTTAATTAAATTAAACGCAATATCGCTCCTTAAACGTGTAGTTAACTATTTTTTAAGGGCATCTATGCTTCGGCTTTTCCACTTTTGCCTCTGTGCCGTGTTCTTTTGGCCATGAGAAAGTTCCTTCAACTTTTTGGTTCCGCTGGGGATCTGTGCCACCTCAAAGATCGCCCTGTTCAAGTGGGTGCGACAGAGATGCACAGATCACTGGGGTTTTTCCATCACGGGCCCCCAAAAAAGACGAAAACTTTATGGAAATGGCACCCCAAGCACGAACCTTCGCCGGTCCAGAAACATCCCCCAAGGCGGAAGCTCAACCCTTGTCCTTGGCATTTCGACGTGCATTTCCTTGGCTTTCCCGAGACGCTTCTCATTTTTTTTGGGGGTGCTTCCAAGGACCCACTGACATGACATTGTAATGGTTTGTAATAGAAATTTACACACATCTCACGCAGAGTGTACGGTTGGGATGGAGGGGTGTGTGCTGCACCCCTTGGCTGGCTACCATCTTCTTCACTGAGGGGTGGTTTCGGGTCGAGCCATTGTGTGGAGTGGCAACGCCAGTTCTTTAAAGCGTTTTTTAATTCCTTTACATGGCCAAAGAGTATTCAAATTCCCTTTGTTCAACTCTGTTGAATGTTCGTATGGGGAGGGAAGCTCATTTCTCTGGAATTTCGTCTCTCTCTGAGGCACCACGTGCTTAGATTTTGGGATTTCTAATGAGTCACAAAGGGGAACTGACTGCCTGCGCCTGTTGCCATGCAGGAATTCCGCTTCAAACTGGAATTTCAATGGGAACTCTCTTCCAATCAGTTGTTCCCATTCGAATGGACGCTCCTTAATTCCTTAATTATTACCTCAAAAGGGAAACTCAAACTGGGAGCAAGACAAAGGTAGAACCCCCTAATATGTACACCCCGCTAAGGCCAAAAAAACAATCAAATTTTCATAATTTTCCTTCCTGCCCATCTGGTTTTTCCATGCTGTGTCCTTAGGGCTGCATCTTAGAACAATGCCCACCCGGCGCCCTGCTGGAAACTAGTTTCCACTCCCCTCGATTTTTCTTTTCTTTTTCTAGGGGAAAAACAGAAGGCATTTATTTGCCTTGTAACCAGTTTTCGCTAATTTGTGCACACGTGCAAATCCTTCCTTACACAAAAGATTCGAGATCCTTTAGACAGGAACTCGTTTGGTTTGCTTTGGTTCTTACTTCCTCGAGACAAAGTGAAAGTGTTGGGTTCAAAACGCCGCCGGGCCATTGACACGGCAAATTAAGGTTAATTCATCAAAATATACGCAAAAGTTTTCATGTAAAAAATACATTTTTCTTGCCTCATTTGTCTTTGGTATAATTTGGGCATTTTTTCAAGACATTTCTGGGGGGTTCAAGTGGTGTCGCGATGAGGCAGCATTATTGTATATCATATATGAGAAAATTGGATGATTATAAATGAGAATTTAAGCTGGAGTTCAAGTGAGAAAAGCAGATCAATCGGGTGAGGGTTATAATGAGAGCTGGGATTAAATGGAAGCTACTTTCAATAGCTATGGAACGACGGGGTTTATTTTGAGTATTTACAGAATTTAGTGATAAATATTTAGTTAGCTGGCCACGGCATAGCTACAAGTTTCAGGATCTATAAGAAATTTAAGGCACAGGAAAGATGACAGCCATGGCTGCTGGATCGTGTTTATTTGTATCGTTTCTTGGATAGAATTAGAAGTCTTACCTTAAAGGTACCTTAAAAAATCTCCATAGAAGCTGCACAAGAACACATCAGAAATGTAAACCCAAAACTGACCTAAAACTTGCTGAATTTTAGGGATCAATCTGTGGTCCCCATAGCCTTGAATCCAATGAAATTCGTAGCTTTCAGCCATAAATCATGGGTTGTGCCCATTGTTCCCGCTTAGATTGTTCTACTTGCCAAACTGCTTACAGAACTGTGTAAGGCAGCAGACAATGGACTGGGAGTTGGATAAAGACTGAAGGAGATACAGACAGACCGACAGACCGACAGACAGACAGCGGCGCTGGCCTAGATAAGCATGAAAAGCATCCTGAAGTCTGATAGAGGATTCCGTTCGAAAAAATTCAATTTCCAGTTTGTGCAGAACAAAAGCACACGCGGGGAACACACATTTGGATCAAAAGGCATTAGGCGAAAGACAACTCGAGGAGCAACAGGAGCAGGGGAAGAGATCTGCTGAGCAGGAATCAGGACAATAACAATAACTAGGGAGCAAAGGACAATGATATGGAAGCGCCTGCGCTATGCTACCCTTAGCCATAGTTTTTTCGATTTAATGTTACTTTTATGTTTTCCCAATTTTTCACGTTACGGCTATAAAAACAGTTCCCGATTTTTCTTTTCATTACATTTTTCTTGCGTTTGTTTTGTTTGTAGCTTTTCCTTTTCCCCCTTTACCGTCCTTTTGTTGCTTTGCAAATGTAAATACGAAATTTTAATAATAATTGAAATGAATTTTCCTCGCAAGAGAAGAGGGGTTGTTGCTATCCCAGAAAAAACTGCATGCGGCAACCCACAGTTAAGTATGTAATTTTCTGCCAAGCCATATGCAGATTCCACGGAGGGTTTCCATTTCCATGGAGAACTGCCCCTGACAACTCGATGATTTATAAACTGTTTTTTAATCGTCTGCAACGACGCCGCTTGTCGCCACGATTTCACATTTAAATTTAAATTTCAGTTTCGGTAAACATTCTCAATCGATTCTAAACAGTAATTGAGCGTTCAAAAGCGTGGAAAATGCATTGAAAAGGGGGAACAGCCGCGGAGAAAATGTAATTGAAGTGACTCCTTAAGGAGTGTCAACTGTACTTGGGTTAATGTTAAGCGATTGGAGCTGGAAAAATGGGGAAAGAAAGGGAAAAATCTAGGCCTTATTCTTGTTAATTTTCGTATAGCACTTAATTTAATACCTCAAACAGGCCCTAAATGAGGGATAACAATACGAGTTTTTAGAAGAGTTTTATTAATGGACTTTCGACATAAATAAAACCCTTTAACATTTAAATTAATTAATTTACATTTCAAGTTCACAAATATAATAGCAGGGCTCATTGGAAAACTGCTATTTCTGTTAATTAAATATTAATTATACAATTTACTTAATGTTTAAAAACAGATTGTAAATATAAACAGAGAGAAAAAAAAAAAAAAAAAAAGTTCACAAATCTTCCAACTTTCATTTCCCATTAATTTCCCCACTCCTTTTTCAGCTAAACATAATCATATTTAAGATTCAGCGAACTACATCTAATGTAAATTCCCCATCCCAAACCTTCTATCCACCCACAGAGAGCCCATAAAAATTTGCAAGCTTTACTGTACTTTTTTGCTCGCTATTTCCTTCTATTTTGGGCTGCATTTTCCACGTTTTTTCAAGCATTACTCAATGTTTAGGGCAAGGGAAAACCCGACTACTCCACTTCATTCATAGATTTCTGCTTCTTGCCTTCGCCCGCCGGCGCTTTTTCCACCCCGCGTCGTTTGATGGCCAAAC